TTTTTTTCCATCATACAGATGGAACTGATTGCGGTCGACTACCGAAAGAGCTGGGTGTATCATTTACTTTGTCCCCACACCGCTCTCTCGCTTTCCACTTATGCTGCGCACAATACGACCAGTTTGATAGTCAATGTGAGGAAGATCGGGGCAGGTTGGAGGAGGGAGGGATTTCAGAATTGCATCCTGGTTCTCTCCGTTTTACTTCTCAGAAGTACTTAGGAGAATAAATGGTGAAAATATCTTTCGCCTCGCAACACTTATTTGTCTCGCAAACCAGTACAAAAATTCACAGGCATTTTCGCGTTCCTAATAAGTAGCGTAATGAAGTGTGCTCCGAAGCTCTTTTGGAAACCCACTTGGAACACAATCGGAGAATCATTTTACCTTTGACAGATAACTGGGAGTCCAGTAGCACACTATCCAAGGCACCGGTGCATAGTGTCATTGCTGTTCTTCAGTTTTGATGATGGAATTCTCTCGCTTCATGTCAGACTTCTTTATTGTCTTACTAAATCATCATCCGACCACTGCTTGTCTGGGAAAGCTTTGCCCACCGAGGAAGTCTGTCCGGTGATGTATGTAACACATTATAATCTCTAGGGCATAACCCTAACTGGTCACCTTTTTTCCCTTATGGCATCATATGCGCCTATCTTCACTGATTATTCAGATTTATCGTGTCTGCGGAATCGCTCTTCCAATTGTGCTTGTTTATGTAGCATTAAGCAAACTATGGACCGTGTGGATATGATTATAAAGACCATGATGTAATCAGTATATATATATATATATATATATATATATATGCTTTTAGTCCAAGATCCGTTCGGGGTCGATGTCCCGTCCGTCGGGTCATAAGCCCGTCGGACTGAGCTCCCAGGTCCTGGTTATAAAGCACATCCAGTGCCCCAGTCGAGCTAGAAATCTCGTATCCAGCAGCACTGTTTTCATTTCATACCCCTCGGCGCGAGCGATTTGAGATCAGGGTTTTCCAACTCCCATTGCAAGCTAGTTTCCCGCAGATCATCAAATTGGTTATAGCCTCAGCAATTGTTACCCTCTCACCTCAGTGATAACATCCCCTCACGAAAAGGTCGTAGGATTTCCCCAACATGAGTTCTGAGGTCAGGTCATTGAAAGGTATTTTGCGAGGAGCCTTGAAGGTATCATCTGTTTACGGAAACACACTTCGCGGACCATATTGGGACTTTTAGGGGCCAGATTCCCGGCCAGATTGATCACACTCTCATTGAACTTGTTTAGGTTTCATAGTTTTCGTCTTCAATTGTTTCCTGTTACTGGTTTGTCCGAATTTTGTTACGACAGCAAGATGTCCGTTGGACTGTGAGCCGTTGGTCACCAGCACAGACTAAAACCGACGATGCTAGGCACATCATAAGACGAAATCTATCCAACTTAATCCGTCAATTCTATGAATGCAACTAAAAGGATCGATTGGTATTCTGAATTAATGCCTAGAAAACTATTGCATACAAACTAGTTACCATAGGTGAACTGTCTAACGGTTATTGTGTAGGTTGAAACTTACGACCGTGTTGATTCTGATCCACACCGTTGCAACCTAGTGATTTAAAACATTAGAATACAGAAGGTAACAAACTTGGCCCCGTTCATTTTCTAGGAATCTACTCATTAAGCAGACCGTTATCCCACATAACAACTTTTCAATTTAATTACAATGCGGTTTTTGAACCATTCCACCACTTCCGTATGTTTTCCAATTGCTGATGACTTATTCACTAGGTTTTGGAAATCAATGCACAATTGCTCGAGTAAAAAGGAACTCGCGTCGTTCGTGCGCATCGATGCTGAATAAATTGAATCCAGCAGGACCATGTATGCCCCAGAGAATTCACTCTCATTTAGAAATCGAAGTCTTTTCCGATCTGTTCATCACTAGGAACAGGAACAGACGGAACAGAGAAGAGTTCGTTTGACTATTCCGTGAACAAACATCGTTTCGAGACGCATACAGAAAAACGAAACATCGATCCATTTTGGGGGAAGGTCTAGTGCGAAATAAGTGATTGATTTTGGGTTTAGCTGTTTTGTAGGTATGTGTGTTTAGGGTTATGTTGTTCAGAGCAATGCAAATTCGGAAATCAATTTGAAGGTCCTATTTCAACTGTTCAGACATTACCAGCGTGCGGTACACGTGAACTGATCTCAAGCCTGACTGCAAAGTTGGCGGGAAAAATAAACTCATTCACTTTCGTCATTGTTTTTCTCATTGTTGCCAGTTATTATTTTCCGTCCTGTTAGAGTCGATTTATTTGTCCCGTTTTGAGATTGATCAATAATAATATGCGTACTGCTTATTTTCCGTCCTTACATCTCACCTTCTGTCTGTCCCCGGACGATTGCGCTCATTCCTACCCACAATCCGGGTAAAATTCTGGTTGTAGTCTCTTCCACTTTTACACTCGCATGCTCAATCACAACTTTTGCTCTCCGGTAATGGTCCCGCACATGGTTCCCTCCCAGTTCTCCACATCCGTTGTGCCAGTTTGTTTCTTCCCATTCGATCTCAACCTTCCCTTAGTGAATCAAACGAAGTTATAAATCAGCTTCGTTCTGTGCATTCCTGTCCTTCGCTCACACACACTTTACCGACGACTGTGTTAGAACACGAACAGGCATCCCCATCCAACCCACGACCTCGTAGCCCAACTCCAAATCGTGCTCAAGCCACAGTCTCGGATCCTTGGGATGACCTAAATAGCTATGCTGCCACATTTGTTGACGAGGTCATTCAGTTTTCTGTGTGGCATGTGCAGTCATCGTCCGAGTTACACTCTGCCGCGTCACCTGCATCCGATTCATTTCCACTTCCAAGTTCACCACCACAACCCGCTTCCTCAGCCTCCAGCGCGTCCGAGTTGAAATGGACTCAATCGTATTCGTCTTCCCCATCGATGGACTTACTTTCCTCAACTCGGAATCAACCAGACACCTGTGCAACAGAAGAACGGGCGTCCTCTTGGAATTGCGAGCTCATTCAGCTTGCACAACAGATCGTGGACGAAGTGCTTGATCTGGCTATGACTGAATGTATCCAAGACACAGAAAAATCTTCGCTGTCCGTCGGGAGTGCTGCAACAGATACCCAAGTCTTAGCTACGAGTGAGAATACAGAACCCACTAGTGAAAAGCATATGAGCGATGAACAGACACGCTCCGTTCCATGTGCATCCAATCCCAGTACACATAGCCTAGCGGATGAAGCTGCTCTGTTCTCGTCTACTCTGGATGTCTGTTCTGCACGATGCTTCAGCGAGGAAGGATATGCCCTAAGTGTGGCCGAGCCGGAAGATGACGATTCTCCGGATGTGGATCTATCTACCACATCTACGGTCTCTCTCTCGTCCTATCTGCATTTACAAGCTATGAGTTCTGAAGACAGTGGTAGCGGTTCTTCCGCTCGCCCTACTTCTCCCCGATCTGTACACCTATTCTGGTCCCGACCCCCGAGCACACGATGTGATCTGAGTGACCTTGTGATAACAACCGAACACCCGTGCACAGATGCCACCGGTGACCGCGGCATTGCACAGCGTGATTCCCGTCACCAGCGACGTCGTCCTCGTCGTGATCGGGGACGACATCGTGAGCGGCACCCATACACGAAACGGGCCTCTCGAAGTCTACCCATGGAATATTCATTCTCATCAAGCTCATCTGGTGACCGTTTGGCAACATTAGATCAACTAGTTGATGATGATGTTGATGATGTAACGGGTGGAGTAAAGGTTGGTCATCCTTGTTAACGCACGACCAGTTGACGGTAGATTGACTCTGCTGTATGCGCCTGTCTTTTTTATCCCTGCTTTTTTAATTGCTGTTGACAGCATGATAACTACCTACGCATCTATCGTGCCTCAAATGTTGTGTTACAACAATGCAAATGAATAGAGAGAATTTTCGTAGTGCCTCCACAAACCGTTGTTGTTATGTCGTGTATAGCAGTTTTACACAAATCTTAGTCACACTGTTCACTGTCCATGTTCAGTTTTTACAACCATTAACCATGCACTTTCGTGCGCCGGTTTTGGTTGCTTATTTTGGTTCAAATTGTTTTCTCCGATGTTTATTTCAAGAACAGTGCAGAGCCAGTTGAAACCGAACTGTTCAAAGTGTTGNTCCTGATCAGATACATACCGTCAATATTTTATTTTTACCATCACAAGGTGACATCCTGGTTAAGTTCTTCCGAGCATTGTTTCCGACTCGGCCGCATCTCCTTGATTCGAATAATAGCTCCTAATTTCTCACATTAACGATACACAGTTAGAGGTTTTTAGGTTTTCCTCTTTTGCGGTTAAATATTTATTGATCTTCCTTAGGTGAATTGAATGATTAAATGGAAGAAACGAAGCGCAGATAATTCCATTATTTCAGATTGTGTCATTCTTGTGTGAGTGACAATCCTCCTCGAGGAATCGCAAACCAAATTCGATTTCTACAAACAAACAGAAGACTACTTATTAACTCCACTCACTCATTCACTATCTTGTATATACTAGTCCGAGTCCCCTCGACCTGTTGTGCATCCCTCACTTCGATATGTCATCACGGTGTGTTTCCATCATGTGAATCAGAGCAATCGCGCATGTTACTCGAGCGAGCATGTGTTTCATCGTGTGCACGTTTTGACCCGATTCGGTTCCTGTCTATAAATAGTATTATATCTGTCAGGTGTTTGCATGCGTGCGTAATCTATCTAATTTCTCCCCGTTTCCTATCCTCCCAGGACCCGTATTCATTGGGTGAATGGCAGTATCAAGTACGTCCACAGTCATTTTGTCTTCTTTGCCTAGTAGCGAATTACACCCCCTTGGGTTTAGCTTGATTTTCATTTTTTTTGTTCTGGTAAATATTTAGGATGAATAGCTTTCCATTTCGAAAGTGTACCCGAGCTACACGGTCAGCGTGCCAGATGTAACAATTTTGGCATTAATGCATAACCAACTACTTCATACGGCTCGATCGAAATCCTTGGCAGTTCATATCGCGGAATTCGAACTCGGGAACAGTCAGTGAGGATTGATAATCAGGTGTCACCTGATAGGCTTTTCCGATGTGCGATGCTTGTCAAGACAAGCAGTAGTTGTAACGGTGGTCATGTTTTGATCAGGTCTAAGGGTATGGAAACATGAACATGGCCGTTGTGTGTTACCTCTGTTTATTTCAACATGCATCATCTTTTCACCTTTTAAATATGAAAAATAAGCACCATCGATAATAGGGATGAAGTAGCAGGTTTTTCAGCTTTTCTGGTACACATTTTTGGGCCCGGTAATCGTGCTCTAGCGTTTTAGCGCACAGAACCATTTATTGCTCTCGGTGTTTCATTTCGCTGAAATAACTCACTTCGTGCGATATGCTAAGCGACATGTGTTGATTTATCTCTTACATAGTTGCGTATCTAATGACGGAAGCTCANAAGCTCAGCAAAGGAGGTAGCCTCTCTTATTTCCAAGGCTCGAGCAGCATACGCAGGACTGAAACATCCTTGGCGTAGACGCTGAGTTTCACTGAAGTCGAATGGTCGTGTATATTGCGCTAGCGTTCGTTCATTCCTGCTTTATGGTTGTGAGACCTTGAATTTAATAGTAGAAAATATCCATCGATTAGAGGTTTTCGCTTATTGGTTTTTACGTATTTTAATCCACATAGGATGGAGCGAACGGATTAGTAATCTGGAGGTAAGCCGTCGTGTATTTGGGAATCTATCAGGTATAAACCTGCTAGCACATTTAATTCAGATTAGTAGACTTCGCTGGGTAGGGCACGTATTGGGTGTGCCCAGCTACTGTCTACCACATCGCGACTTGTTCTCTATAGCCGCTCTGGGCTGAGGGAAACCATGTGTAGATCAACAGATCAATTGAGGACGAAGCATGTAATGTACAGAGCGGTTAAGTGGAGTGTTTTGCGCTCTCCTGGTTGGGGTCCAAAGACTCCGCAACTGGTTGGTTGGAGACGTTAAAGTATATGACAGTTCGCCTCACTGTATTTCGCTGTACGATAATGATGGTTTATCTCTGCTTCTCCAACGTACTTTACGTTTCTCCACCCCTTATCGTCTATTTTCATCGGACAGACTCTCAACTTCCACGTTTTACCACTTACTGATCCACAAACATACTTGCATGATCATTGTTTGGACGTTCTACCGGTAGATCGTCTGGAAGAGAAATCGATTGAAGTTCGTTTGGATTCGGCACCACTCGGTAGGTCTTGCATTCTAATTTATCCTCTCCCGCTCCTGACTATCATTTTCCCCGGACACGATTACACATTTGGGACTTCGCTTTCAGGGCATGCACAGTATTTGTTTCACACTATACAACATCATACGATGGGTAACAAAAAGGACAAACCCCATAGTCGCAGGGAACTTCGCATCACTCATAATAACGAGCACCGTGAACCCCAGGAAGTTGGATGGCGAACCACATTCGATCCCACTGAGACAAGCGTGGGTGGTTGAGGCGATGTCTTGCTCTGGTACACAGCGCACCATAAACGGCAGTTTAAACCGCCTGACCACAGCCAGCACGGTGTCGTAATTTGTGATATTCCGAGGTGTCCTTAAGCCAACGAAGGTGCTTTAGTTTAGTCGTCGTGTCTGAGGAGTTATCATTCTTACCTTATCGCTTTTCTGAATGCTGTTATTGGCCGGTAATGCTTTTCCGGTTGTGGTTCTATACTTGGCTTTATACGTCGTCTATACAGATGGTGTTGGGCCCACGAACCTTTGAATTCTACTTAAGACGTGAAAGAATTTTTGCCATGTTCATTTTTGGCATTATTTTCAGCGCTCCAGTTCAATAACTTTGCTGCGCAATGCAACCCCTCTACCCATTTGGTTCGTCCTGCGCATTTCCCAAGACGGCAGTTCTCGTTCAGTGAGATTCTTCGTTACCGGTAGCGAAAATGTGGGCCTGGTGGGGGCACTTCAACTTACATTATGCATCGGGTATCCAGAGTGCATATTTTCATTATCGGTGAATATTATTTGAATGTGTTTCAGATAGTCTCAATCTGGACACTAACGGGTCAGCTTGTTTGATATATATCGGCTTAGAATTAGTCATTTTTGGTTAGCGCCCTGGGTGGTTATTGACAAGCAGCAAGTCAGTCGTCCATCTCCAGTCATAGGTTTGTCACTGCAGTCCCATCGTGATGGAGCTACATGGCGAACTGCAGCTGTCCAACACAGAGATATACGTGCTCGTGTCTTCATCTTGAGTTTCGGTCACTAAAACACCATTGGTGTAGGTTTAGTGAAATGGTTTCGTGTACCCACACACCACTGGTTTCATCTCGCTCCTCGTTCGTTCCAACAAAACGTGTGAAAGTGCTCGTCGTAAACCTGTCGTGTTCCCCATATCAGTGCACCCAATCATTCCTGTTCTGCCCCTCGCCCTGCACGTGCCTTCCATCCTGCGTTCCGCCTTGCGGCTCGCCCAATTTATGCGTCTCAACCTGAACTGAAAAGTTTCTGTGCCTGTCTGAAAAAAATCACTCTGCGAATTAGATGATGGTTTTCGTGATCAAGTGAAACAGACTGGAAAGCTGGGACGTAACTATACAGCTGTCTCTACATGATTGGGTCACCATCACTAGTGGTCCAGCATTGCTTCTTACCGAGACCGAAGTACGTTAAGCCTTAGTGTGTACTCGTCAGACAAGCCTTTGCGAGACGTCGTCGCTCCGCCCAGGCGAATCGACGTCGCCTCACAGTCCGACCAAGCTGTGTGCTGTCTCACGAAGCCTTGTCTGATCAGCACTGAAGAAATATGAAGGTACTTCGTTTTCGGCCAGTTGTAATTTGTTTCTTGCGTGGCCTAGTTTTGTTTTCACAACCTGGGGATCTAACGCTCCAACGTTCATTGATCACTTTCAACCATTTTTTTGTTGTATGGCACAAGGTCCAGTTCGTTCTCTGTTAAAGTCGCATGATGACCGTCGGCACTGCTTGAGTCTAACGACATAACCATAGGTGTTGCAGTTCATAAATAAAACACGAAATCAATACAGTTTTCTCCACACTTTCTTGATTCACATCTGTCTTCAGCCATCATCAGAGGCTGTTTGCCGTCACCCTTCGATCGCCTTAGAGCTGTTTCCGCATCCCATGTTGACGGGTTACGCAATAAAAAGAACCG